GTACTAACAGTACTACCTAAAACTAATTTCATGGAGCTCAGTCCTTCTTAAGAAGCCGTCAGTCGCTCAGCCACTCAAGAATTTCCCAACGTTTTGTGAAAACTGAGGGTTCATTACCTTGTTCACAAGAGCCCTCAACTGGTCCCTTTCCTGGGCCAGTTCAATCCAGTTCATCCCATCCTATCTAAGATCCATTTTAACATCCACTTGCGCTAGGTTTTCCTAGTGGTCCATTTCCTTCCTCGCTCCCATGCATGCTATGTACCTTTCCCATCTCATCTTTCCTTGATTTGATCATTATAATTGTACTTGGCATAGAGTACAAATTATGAAGCAATTTTCTCCACCCTACCGTCACTTCATCGCTCTCTGGTCCAAATACACGTATTTTCCTCAGTACCCTGTTTTTGACATACGAAAACATCAATGCATGCTGTAAAAAAGTGTTCATAATTTTATCTATTCCTTTGTGGTTTATTTAATGACACAGCCTGTATTTTAGACAACATAGCGTTGAAAGGTTGGGCGACTTGTGAACTATAAACTAAAAAGTATTGGAAATTATACAGTACTGATCTTAATGTGATGTGTTTGTCATTTGAAGACCTCCCTGACGTGACAATGGAAACGGCCATTTGTTTAAACACGATGCCGTGTCAGTAGTGTACCGAACCACACGTGACACATCTCTGGAGCTGTTATTGGCACTGTTTATTGAAATTTGTTTCCGCAGATATGAATGGCAACGCTGTACGTATTGATAACGCCGATAATGGTTTAGAGCCCCTCACCCAAACACGGACATTGCGTGATACTTGCACACAATGGGAAACTTTAACTCCGCAGGAAGATGGCGGTGAGATGGGCGGAAAATGTAGCAAGCATAGGTGTGGAGGATAGAAAATGTAAAGCTATCCCTGTAACAGACCGTGAACACCCATAGAGTTGTGAGACGTCGAGGCTCAAACATTTTCTAGATAATCGGCTTAAAGATGGCGGCGAAGTCGTCAGCCCTAAGCGCCGGCCGGCCGCTCTTTACTCATTTCAGTTAGAGGCTTGAGTCAACACCTGGGTCATAGTGCGGCTGGAAGAATTAGGTCAATTGGAAAATGTAATGACCTCATCGGGAATCGAACCCTCTACTTTCCGGCTTTTAGCATAGTGCCTCAACCAACTACGCTACCGCGGGCTCCGGAGAGGAATATTTATATAAGACTTTGGTTGAAAGCTTTTAGGGCGGATATAATACGTGTACAAGGACTTAGATTGGCAAATCATATGAAAATGGACCTTACAGTACAACTCAACCTCAATAATATGAACGCTTTAATCAGATGTGTTCGTACTATTGGATCGTTCGGATTACTGAATATCAAATACGAAATTAGATTTTTTTACTAAAACTTTTATTCAAAAGATTTATAGGTACGTTTTATGTAAGAACTACAGTAACCCACGGACGTTCGTCTGTACACCAGGTTATATATTTCAGCGCCCAGAAGAGACAGATCTATTAGCACATAGTACCATGTTTTACAATAACTAAGACAATTAGACTAAATTTTCAATTTTCAGGTACCGTTTTGGTGCTGCAAGTCAGTTTGGATTACTCTGAGTCCGGATTAACGTGGGTTTAGAACACGATGTTCCACTGTAACAGGATATGTGGGTGTGGACTTGATTTTGGTTCAGGATAAGGTCCAGTGGGTGACTTCTGTGATCAATTTAATGAACGTTTGGGTCCCTTAAAAGGTGAGGAATTTGTTGACTAGCTGAGCGACTCTTAGTTTCTAAAGAACGACACTGCTTCATGGAGTTAGTTCAGGTCATTGAGCACAATATTTCTCGGTATATTTCTATCATTGTTGAGGTATCTTCATCTTGTTGCAATATCAGAAGTTAGAAAATTGAGACTTCATTGGTTTATTCTCGTAAATAAATAAATTGTCACATATATTAGTGACATGTAGACGGGGTTTGGATTGGTGAGTCGATTTATTGGATACTCACGGGTCATTAAAGTGAAAGGTTAGGCTGTAACAGGCCGTGGAGGCCCGTAGGGTTGTGAGACGTCGAGTCTGCCGCGTTTTCTCGGACAGTTCGCTCACAGATGGCGGTGGTAAGGTTGTCAGCCTCGAGGCCGCGTCATAGCTCAAGCGGTTAGTCGCTGGCTTCCCACCGCGGCGGCCCAAGTTCGATCCCGGGTCTGGTCAAGTGGGCTTTGTGGTGGACAAAGTGGCACTGGGGCGGGTTTTCTCCAAGTACTTCGGTTTCCCCTGCCAATCTTCATTCCACCAAATTCCCCGTCATCATAATCAGCCGGGGCAGGCTACAATAGGCCAAGGACTCCACCCCCCACTAAGCGAATTAATTAATTAAAGGTTGTCAGCCTTACGCGCCGGCCTCCCTTTACCCTCAATAAGATTCCTGCTACTCATTTCTGTTAGAGGCAGAATCGACCCCAGGGCCATAATGCAACTGGAAGGATTAGGCAAATTTTGACAATCTACCTCATTGGGATTCGAACCCGCGACCTTCCGGCTTGTAGCATAGTGCCTCAACCATCTACGCTACAGACTCACGAGTCGTAACACACACAAGATTACTGTAATTGTAGTACAAAGTCTTCAACGTCTGTTAACTCTCCACAGGTGAATCCTCACAACTCCTTTCCATGACGGCTTCGTGTCCTTGACTCAGTGCCTCTCCAATTCTGTACCTGGATTCCATATCGACCTGAGCCTCATGCGAACCGGAGATAGAAGACCAAATAAAATAGTTCATTCCACTGTTATTCACAGTTGCCATTAATATGTGTTTCAACCTCTGGGTAACGCCTTGATTTATCCCAGCATATTTGTTGCTGCAGAAACGTGTTTCAACTCGCCGTTGCCTAGCAATGGCGGTCTTTTTCTGACTTCACTATTCCGGCTTTCAGGCATCATGTCACAATATCATTATTTCAGCGTATCCTTTGTGTTATATCCGGGTACGCGTACGTTTCTTTCTGGTGTTGACATTATTAAATAATGAATATGTATGTAACATCCAGGAAGATAACTCCCCACGAGTGTGTCTAGTGGCTGCGGTCTCTGAGGCACCAATTACAAAATACTGAAAACCAAGAAATATAATAGAGAAACAGTGGACTGGAACAAAGGTAAACATCCGTGTGCTTACTTAACCCCACTTTATGAAGACCTATCGGGAAGTGGCGGTAGAAATGCATTCATCTCGACCTCGGCATTAAGTGCATGTGATTGGTTAACTTCTCGCTATGGCTGGGTAGACCCCAGAGCCGGTTTGGACGCTGTAGAGAAGAGAGAAATCTTTTGCCGTTGTCGGGAGTCGAACACCGATCATCAGATCTTAGCCTATTGTAAAATCCCTGCTTAATTACATTTTTTATCACCTTTCAACTCTGTCCGACTCGACACAACATTGGCCGAAAATGACGTAAGCATTAGATATCAGTCATGTATTGGTCGGGTGTGTGTTTTTTTAATGCTACTGCGGTGGGACTAAGTCCCTTGTACTGCGGCCACTTCTGGCCTATTGTACCAGCCCCAGATGATAGGTGAGGGTGATTGTGGTGCAATTGGTGGAATGAAGATTGGCAGAGGAAACCGAAGTACTCGGAGAAAACCTGCCCCAGCGCCTCTTTGTCCACCACAAATCCCACTTGACCAGACCCGGGATCGAACCCGAGCCGCCGCGGTGGGAAACCAGCGACTAACCGCTTGAGCTATGGCGCGGCCTACATAAAAATCCAATTATTTCATCGGGATTAGAACCCGCGACCTTCCGGCTTGTAGCATAGTGCCTCAACCAACCACTCTACCGCGTGCCCCCTGATCAGGTGTGTTACTAATTGTATATTTTATTTGCGAGCACTGGTTCGATACATATACTGGCATTCACTCCGAAGGCTACAAATCTGTAGTCGCACTCTTCAACGTTTGGAGTTGAAATAAAATTCTGAAAACAATACTAATTTCTTCCACCTGTTTTGAGTAGACGCAGACGGAACCACGAATTATTTAATAGCGAGGTCATTCTAATTACTACGTCGACTGAGCTATCTCTGTGTGAATTGCAGTGTTAATGCAAAATGTAAAAATGTAATATTCTCTATAGGATCAACGATTGTTTTGAAACCACACCACACAAACAGAACTATGCTTGCAGTTCCGCGCTTGTCGTAAACGGTAGGTGTAAAAGAGTAAAGTTATCCCTGTACCAGGCTTGAGGGCCCATAGGGATTTGAGACGTTAAGGCTCCCACATTATCTAGACAATCGGCTCACAGATGACGTTAAGGTTGTCAGCCTTACACGCCGTCCGCCCTTCACCACCAGGAATATTCCAGGTACTAATTTATGTTAGAGGCTGAGTGAACCCCAGGGCCATAGTGCGGCTGGAAGGATTAGGTCAATTGAAAAAAAAAAATCAAATGACCTCATCGGGACTTGAACCCGCGACCTTCCGGCGTATGTTTTTCAGTTTTCGTCTTTCGTTGTTGTCATGGTAACACACAAAACACAGAAGCCATCACATAATTGCTCTCGGAATTATCAAGCTTTAATGCGATGTTTATATTGTTTACTAACGGAACAATACATATGTCTTATTCCAGCTGTTCGTGCTCTGCCATGATAATAAGTGGCACTGCTTGTACTATTTTCACAAGCGTTTGAAAAGAAATCTTGCGCCATTTTTCCCGTGAAGTTCCTCTGTCATTCAGGTCGGGTAGACTCGGCTAATCCCGTTGTGTGACGTTTCGTCACTAGGGCTAGGTTCGGCTCCTGCCGCTGGGTCAATGAACTGGGACGGGCTCGGAGGATAGGAACAGAGTAAGAGAGAGTGAGTGTATACATCGGTGCCTGCGACAGAGAGAGATGAGGGCGCCAACACGGTCTGTGAGAGAAAGAGAGGGTTGGAGTATCTATGTGGAAGGGGTACTAACACTGACAGTGTTTTAGCCGACGGCTAAAGTGCCAGTTGAATTCACCTTTGCTGACGAATTTTCATCATTGTACTTTTTTTTTGTGTGTGTGACATCAACGAGAATCATACTGCAGAGTCTAAGAGTGATAAATAAGTTTCACTAATCTACTTCTGTTTTTTTGTGCTGTGATCTGGTTTGCGAGACGAGGGAATTACATGTTTCTCTTCTTTACATGTACTCGGAAGTGATGCGTTTATGTGCAATATTTCGTTTTTCAGTGTGTCTCTCTGGGAACGTCGTCTGTCCCCAAGGAATAGAGTTTTGAACTGGAACTGCGAATTTCGATTGCTTCTCTTGCGTCAGAAGATAAGGGAAGCTACTTCATTAGTTGAGTGCATGTTTCGTGCGTTTGGTTTCGTTGTACACCTCTTTTTATTCCATTTTTTTTCAAGTGAATCATTGTGCTTTATATTTTATTTTATTGATGACTGATTCAGTTGGAAAGTGTCTTTTTATTTATGAGATAGTATTAGATAATTTTCATACCGTTTGTGTTTGAAAGCGAAGATTTAAATTGGTTTTATGAGTTTTAGCGATTGCGTGAAAACATTATCATTTTATTTTAATTTTGTATATGTGTATAGTTTTATAGGCTTTTCGATCGCATTTTGGACTGGTTTCAAAAGCCATACTGTTGTTTCGCATACTTCATGTGGGGGACAGAATGCGTGTCGCAGAAATTATGTTGCAAAAAGTCGCATCGTGGTTCCGTAAGAGAGTGATGCGCCATTTTCGTTCACAATTTGGTTATAAGCGCCAAGTGTTTTGAAGAGAGCTAATTAATAAATTGCAGATATATTAAAAAACCTATTCGATTTGAAGCCTTGTGTGTATTAGTTTAGATCCTGTCAATTAAATTTTCCACTTTAACGAAATCTTCAACACATTACTATAACGTATTAGTGTTTAAACACATATAACATAATGTATAATATTATTATTTAGAAATCGTTAACATATTCGTGCTGTATGGTAAAGTAAACGTCGCTTTACTTACTCATTCTGTTTGTAAAGACTGCTACACTGTCACGGAAGTGAATGTCTTTGAAATCGATAGTATAGAGGTCGGTGCCCCCACAAAATACTAGTAGCATGCCTGTTTGTTTTAAAGTTGATCACGTCACACTTGCGCTGCATCATGCAAATTACATTTTTATCACAAAATGTGATATAACCGTTTACACTTAATACCGGGAGTCTGTTCTATAAACATCCCCGAGTAAGATTTCTTTTTGAGGACAAGCGTATGAAATAACATTCCTAACTTTTGAACCCTGCAAGTTATCTGAAGCGATAATGTTTCTGGTTTGTGTTCGGGAGGTTACAGGTTCAGACCTGTGACATTCTGACTGAAGGTCATCGTGTTTTTCCCCAGTTCCTACATGTAAATATGGACGTATTACCTTGAATAAAGCACGATCTTATGTTTTCGCATCTCTTCTAATTATTCGCCCTGTCTGAACATCAGACGCTGAGTTACGGATAGCGTCATTAAATAAACTACAAATAAATAAAAAAAAAAGCACAACTGAGATTCGAAATCCTTGGTGTGTGATAACGCTGTCGACTTGTATTTGGAGGGAGGGGCGCTTGGTTCCTATTTCGGGCGGGACATAAACTATCCCATTTATTTTTTTTTTGTGGGTTTCCTCGGCCCTACCGGCCAAATGCCGGGGTAGTAGCTTGATTAGGCCACCGTCTTTTCCTTCCAGATCCCGTTCAGTTACGATTTATCAAACCAAATTTCCCGCTATATGTACTGGATGGAAAATAGACTGTACTCCTGGCCGTAACAGCACAACGTCTAAAGGTAGTTCGAAATTGTTACAGTTTAGTTTTTACGGACATATTCGTTTTAGGGATCAACATAATGATTGAGTAAGGATTTAAATTTCTGGTCTTCAAAAGTTTCATTTCTCCCGTGTCAAATTGAACGACGCCTGAGATAAGACATTTTTACATGATTATTAGAAAAATATTGTTAACTCCTTTTACGTAAGCCGCGCAGCGGATTTCGGATATGACAATTTTTGGATACCATTATCAAACCTCCAGACTTATTCTAAAGCTCGGTATGAATAGCTCTTATCAATATACGTGTAAAATATTTCACGTTATTGCAATATAATTTACGTTATTTTTTATTTTTATATTCGGTTTTGTTGTTTTTTTGATAAGCAATTAGTTTCTATTAACTTTCCTTACATTCATGAGGGTTCCTTTATTTCAAACACATAACAACTCAGCTTTCAGAACCAAGCATCATCTCTAAATAAGTGGAAAGAATTTCTGAGCACACCCTATCGCGTACTGAAAATGTGTCGCGAAGAAATCAGCCACGAATTAGAGAAATTCAGCGTCTTCGATAAATAACAGTTCATCGTGTTTATCTCTTCGTTAATGGGGAGAGAACATTACTCGTTTACTTCTAGATTTATACTCTTCTTACGTGACCTGAAATATTTCATGACTGGACAGAATATTATAGAATATTGCATAGCTGCATGTAACAGAAGTTGTGATGGTGATATAACTGTGCAGGCGCTGCGACAACAATTTGTGCATCTACTGATTACATAGCCGCATTTACAGAAATAATATAAAGGTGGTAAATAAATGATAGTGAAGCCCGAGTAGACATCATTGAGAAATAATGAGTGACAGTGAATTAGCTGTTTTTATAGAGAAGCGTCGTTGTTAAGAGCGTCACTTCTTGGGGGGGAGGGGTCTATACACCGCAGCAGTATGCGTGATCAAGTCTCCAGGTGGCTCTGCTGTGGTAGCGGTCTTGTTATCAGCTTTAATGTTGTCTGTGTGAGCACATCACCTCCGAGGAGTTATGGACGCTCTAGAAGAGCTGCTGGGGGAACAAGCAAGGGGATGTTGGTCACTTCCGCAACACATCACAAACTATGTAAGCACAACTAGAAGCACCGATGTCGATGGCGTCATCGATAAATCGACAACATCGATACCTTCAACGTCATCATCACCACCACCGCCCCCTCCTTCAGACGTTTCGGCTGACAGTACAACACCACCCCCTGAAGGAGCACTATTGCCGACTGATAAAAGATCTGCTAATTCTATAAGAGGTAATTACACTTTCGTGATATGATTATAGTATAAGAATCCGAATTGAGAAAAATACTGTCGAGCGGAGAATGGGTCTGAGACCAGAGTTTCCCACACTGGGAGGTGCGGTTCCAGAAGGGCCTGTCGATATCAAGGAAGATGAATTAACTGCAGTCATAAAAGACCGCGTTAAGTTATATATATGAAATATTTTTCAGATATTATTAAGGTCGAATAGGGTTAGTAATTTCTTTTAAATTTAACTGTAAATTATTTTTATAAGTTGCGAGCCTCATACTTTTATATTTAAATGAAGGGGACGTCGGATTAAAATAATTTTAACTACTTTTATAGACACAGCAGCAACAGATAGCAGAATGTAATGTAATTACATTCTTGAAAAGATAATTTGTGTCTGAGCTAATGCTACCACAGTCAGTAATTTCGCGGACTGGCCGCAGAGCGTCGTCGCTGTGCACTACAGCGGATAGGCTGAGTCACGATATGATGCCCTGTTAGTTCATCTCTGGTCACAGCAAGAGGCAGTTTGAACAAAGGGCATACATCAAGTTCTGCCAAAAAGTAGGCAAATTCCCTAGCGAAACATTTGGCGTAAGAAGAATTGGCTGTTGCTACACGACAACGCCCCTGCACATCGCTCTGTTCTTGTCCAAGAGGAACTGACAAGGCAACAGATCACCGTTTTGCCACTCCCTCCGTACTCACCTGTTCTCGCACCATGCGATTTCTTTCTGTTTCACCGCTTGAAAGCAAAGCTACGTCGTCGTAGATTTGAGTCGTCTGAGGAGGTGGTCATTGCCACAGGAGACGCCGTACGGGAATTTCCCGCCGATATATTTCAGCAATGTTTTCGGCAGCTATACAAACGTTGGCAGACTTGCATAGCGGCCAACAGCAACTATTTTGAGGGTCGATGTGGATCTGTGTAAGTGTACGTGAATACCTTGTAATATGATGCGATGAAACTACAGTCCACAAAATTAAAGACTCTACCAAGTAAAACATTTCACGTCTTTTATGAGAACCAAAACGTTTATTACCGTCCCCACAAGAGCTCTTTGTTGGAAAATATTCTGAGTCAGATGAAATCAATCCATCCGCTCACACTCTGACAAGAATCCAAACGTTCTCGTGCACATTTTCATTTGTTATGTAGTTCCAAATCCGATCCTGTGCGTATTATTTCGTAACACGTAACTTTGTTTACGAAGAAGAGACGGCTTCCCACCAAATCTCGAGCAGGAGAATCGACCCTTGTCGGCTGTCCGCGACTGCTTATTCAATATATTCGCAGCCGCCTCCCCATCCGCAACCTAAGGACGCTCCACGCCGTGGTGACAGGTGATAACATTTCACATGGAACGATAATAATAATAATAATAATAATAATAATAATAATAATAATAATAATAATAACAATAAGCGCGCAGTATGAAGAAGCTTACTTAATTAATGAAATATTTCATTCATTCATCGGTGGCTATACAGTCTTCTGTTGGGCCCAGGCCTCTTCCTCAGTTTCGTAACCTTTTTACACAGACTGTAGGACTCCTTGAACAGTGACTACCTACACACAGGACAACACAAACACAGCAAAAACGCAAACAGATATCCATGCTTTGTGTGGGATTCGAACCCACGATCCCAGCGCTCGGGCGGGCGAAGACTGTTCATGTCTCAGACCGCCCGGCCACTGTGTTCGGTCGATGAACGATTTATGTAGCATAAATCTAAGTGTCTATGGAAGAGGGAAATCATGTCTACAGAACGTGAAAATATAAATAAATTGAAATTACTGTTTTTTTTATCTTGTCCATCGTCTTCTGCTTTGAAAAGCTACAGAACACAGAGTTTCCGAAACTGGACCTGTTTCCGTCCTCAGGTGAGGGGGTGATACTAAACTCTGTTGGGTTATATTCAGAGCTCACTCCAGTCACGGGAACAAGTGTATTTAACTCTTTATTGCCAGTCGTAATGGAGGGAAGAGGTAGTGTGTTTAATTAAAAAAATCTGGAAATTCCGACTATGCGTGTTGCTTTAACCCTAAAAGTCAGTTATAATTTACGGTTGTCGCTGCTGCTAGTCACAAACAGTGAAACCAGTATCTTTCCTGTAGAAGGAAACGACCTTTATTCAGTGGCCGGTGCGAAAAGTAATAAAATAATAAATTAGAAAGTTGCAGCAGGGTGTGATGTACAGTCTACTGCAAATCATTGTAAAAAGTCGCTGAAACTTGTCACAGAAAGAGAGGTAATGTACAACTCTTTCATATTTGCAGAAAGCTTTAATTGGTAACTAACTTCATGGAGCTGAGCCCTTCTTGAGAAGCTGCCGGTTTGTGCAGCTAATTAAGAACTTCCCAAAATTTTATGGAACCCGAAAGTTTATTACCGTGTTCACAGGAGGCTTCCACTGGTCCCTATCCTGAGCCAGATCGGTCCATTCCATACCACCCAATTCTATCTCTCTAAGATCTGTTTTAACGTCGTGGTCTTCCTATTGGTCTCTTTCCTTCTGGCTCTTCCACCAAAATCATACATACATGCCTCTTCTTCTCCATTTGTTCTACTTGTCCTGCCAATTTAATCCTTCTTGATATGATCATTTTATACTTGTCAAAGAGTAAAAGTTATGAAGCTCCTGTCACTTCATCTCTCTTCGGTCCAAATATTCTCCTCAACACCCTGTTCTCAAAGACACTCAGTCTATGTTCCCCCCTTAATGTCGGAGACTAAGTTTAACGACCAAACAGAACCACATAAAATATTATAGTTTTGTATATTATAATTTAGCGTCTTTAGGCAGCAGGCGAGAAGACAAAATGCTTCTGCACTGAATGGTAGCAAGGTAAAGTTGTCCCTGTGCTTAACTAAGTAAACACTACGCCATGAAAGCCTATGAGGGAGTAAATGTATAGATCCACATTTTCTTGACCTCGGCACCAGCTGGAAGTGTGTGATCCCCTTCACGCCTCTGCCTCTTTACCCCCGTGGAAAGAGCCCCCTGTACCCATTGGCTAGGAAGTTGGGTGGACCCCATATCTGGTCTGGACGACGTGGAGAAGAGAAAATTCTTGACCCTACCGGGACTCGAACACCGACCACTCAGCTGTCCAGCCCGTAGGAATTGTACCAAGCATTACCCGAATTCAGTCTCCTCTTAACTTCCTCCTGAATCAGGTTTTGATTTGTTATAGCTGTTCCCAAATATGTGAACTGTGCCACATTTTCAAAACATCTGTCACCTATCTTTCATCATTTTTAAATGCATTCTGGTGATGAGACAGTAACATATACTTAGTTTTCTCTGTGTTTACTTCTAGACCAACCTCTTTACTTGCGTCATTTAAAGTTTGTGTGTTTTTCTTTATGGTATCTACATTATCACCCAGTAGATTCACATCATCAGCATAGGCCAACAGCTGATGTTTCCCGTTTAATTTCAGTCCCACCTGGTTTTCTTGGACCTTCCTAATTGCATATTCTAAAGCAAAGCTGAAAAGGAGTGGTGATAAAGCATCTCCTTGTTTTAGACCATTCTGGATTTATCAGACAAATATCTACTTATACGCACTTTACTATAAGTTCCGTTTAAACAGATTTTAATCAACCTAACTAGTTTCATAGGTATCCCAAACTCTATCAGAATATTGTACAGTACTTCCTTCCTAACTGAATCATAGACTTTCTTCAAGTCTACAAGTAGCTGATGTACTGTCTCATTTTACTCCCATTTTTCTCCAACATCTGATGTGTAGTTGATCTGTTATGTCGAAACCCACACTGATGATCCCCAATCATTTCATCTATATATGGACTTAACTTGAAAGAAGCATATGGAATAAAATTTTGTATGATGTTGATAGCAGTGATATCCCCCGATAATTACTACAGTCAGTTTTATCACCCTTCTTGTGAACTGGTACAATAATAGACTCCTTCCACTGATCAGGCAATTTTTTCTTTATGCCAAAAAGAAGTAATTAGCTTATGGATCTTAGAACGTAATATTTCGCCTCCTGGAGACTTATACCTTTTGAATTTTTGCAATAGCAATTTCAAATTCAAAATGGCTAGGATTAGATACTAATGGCTCAGCTGTATGGATTTCTGTCTGCCTAAAATCACTGACCCTATGTACATTCACTAACTGAGAGAAGTAGTTCTACGCCTATTGAGAATGTTGTGGGAATCTGCAAGCAGATCACCATTCTCATCCTTCACTAAGTTACTGCTAGGTTGTTGACTCCACTTAAAGTTATTTATTCCTCTACACAGGTCTCTAATATTCTTGTTTTTACTGTTCGTTGCAAGATCATCGATTTTGTCTTTCAGATATTCCCCTTTTTGTTCCTGAAATGCCTGCTGGTTTCACGTCTTATATTGTTCAGATTATCCCCATTTAACTCGCTTGGATCCTGTAACCATTGCAATTTGGCCTGTTTTCTTTGGTCTAGTAATGTTGAGCATCCTTCATCAAAACACGGCTTATGATTCTTCAATTCATAATAACCTAGGCTCTCTTTGGCAGAAATTTTGATATACCTCTAATATTTTTCCAGGCTCTATTAATATCCACCTCATGAGTTTTCCGAAGCTACGAACCTATTTCAGATTGCAACACAATACTGCTGCTTACCATTTACCTCGTTTAATTTCTTGAGACTGGACCTATCCATTAGAAGTCTGTGTGTTTTTTTATTCGCTGCTAGTCTGTCCCTACCTTTTGTTACAATTAGATAGTGGTCGGTTCGCAAATTGCTGCCCTGACGATCGGACATCTAATATACTTGAATGCCGCCTCCTATCTATCAAAATGTGGTCAATTTGATTGTGTGTCTTCCCATCAGGAGATATCCAAGTAAATTTGTAATGTTGCGATGTGAAAACTTTGGATGTGACAACATTTACTGGTCTAATTCCAATATAATTACTAATTTTTTGCGAAGACCCATTCCCCGTCGTTGGTTTGAATGTCTTTCCTACCTGCTTTGGCATTG